CAACTTTACAGATCTTCTTTATGCACCAAGAGCTTGTAACACTCCAAAGAGAAAGGAAAAAATGAAATCGCATCCTATGACCCCTTTAAGTAATTTTTAAAAAAAGAACAGCTGGACGAATGTTTATAAACTGTTTAACAGTTTGGGACATTCTGTTCTGTTGTAAAAGGTTGTGAACATTCAGTTTATCTTTTGTTAATTACGGGAGTGTTGTTCAAGTTTTTCTCAATATAAATAATAAAATGCTATCTGTTTTTTACTACTTGGAATGTTTATTCCTCTTCATTTATCTTGCAGCAAAGCGTTTTCTTTTTTCTTTTCATTTTGTTCTGCTGAAAAAAAATTTAGCTTCCTGTAAATCACATGATCATAAGAAACTGGATGTGTTCAAATTTTTACAGCAATTATCTAAAAGATGGAATTAGATTAATCATTAACAGTAATTCAAATTTAAATCCCACTTCAAATAATAATAAAAAAACTCTAGGATTTTTAAATTTTGTATTCTGTATTTACTGGGTCTATCTGCTGTTTTGAGTTTCTCGCCGAGAGCATTTGATTCACACAAAATTTGGCATGTATCATCTTGAGACACTGATTATAAAAAAATACCAAAATAGTTTTAATTTGTCAAATAATTGAGAAGATATATGCCAAATATTTTTTGGGCTGTAGCCCAAATCAATTATCAACAATGAAATGTATGTTTTCTTATAAACCACATGATCTTCAGAAGGCAGGTGTTTACAGGGTATAAATACACATTCTGTTGTCTAAATCCTCCAGGTTGGACTGGAGAAAGAGCCTCATTTAAAAGCACAAGTTATTGTAAGTATACATATTGTGCCACTCTGTTCTACTTTATTGTATAGCCTATATTATCTCACAGTATAATAAGTGAGCTCTCTCTCTCTCTCCACCATCTGTTGTGAGAAATTACATTAACTTATATTTATGTTCTTTATCAGCAAATTTCTTGGTTACCTTAAGGGCTTCAATTAACCAAGCTTCAAATGGCAGATTCTCAACTGTTTCCTGAAAGGTGGGATATATGCAATGTCATTTTTATCCATCACTGTTTTTAAAAGCATATTCAAAATTTACTAAAGAAATGTAAGTACTGGTTGCATATACAACATATATTTTAGAAGATTTTATGACTTTGTTAACATTAGTTTTTAACATTGTTAAAACACTAGGGGAGAAAAAAGTTTAAAGGGGTCATGATTTTATATATTTGAAGGTGTGCTTAGAGCCCGAAAACAGCTGGATGCCAATGTCAACAATTTCATGTACAGAATCAAACTGACAGAACTCAAAAAACAAGCGCTGAAGCAAACAAAAGAAGCTTTAAAGAAATGGGAAAATTACAGAGAAGAAAATAAGAACTTTGAATATGAAGTTGATGAAGCCTACAAGGAACTGGTCAAAATAAAGTCATCATGGTGGCACAAGAGGAAAATAAAGGATTGATTGGAAGATTATGTCATCAGATAAACGTATTATGGAAAGATTCTGCCTAAGAAAGAAAGAAAGAAATGTCTTAGATAACACATGGAGGGTAATGAAAAACTGTCCTGTGTTTGTTGTGACTGTAATTCATTAGTCTTCTTCATGTTTGTTTGGTGTTTTCATCTCTTATATAGTGATGTCTGCTGTGTGAGCAAAAAAAAAAAACTGCACTTGCTGTGGTGTGTTCATAATCCCGCAGACAATAATATGATTTTAAACTGAGAACATGACGTGCATTTAAGAATATTGTTTTTTTCGTGTGTGTGTTTAGAAAAAGTGGTATTTACATTTTGATGACTTGTGTAAAAACAAAACTTGTTCTTTTAAGGATATAACCACTTTAAAATACTATTTAGTTTTCTTATAATAATCAAACATTGTACTAGAAAAATACGCATAGAGTTTAATGTAATTTGTGATTTGATCAATCAATCAAAAAAAATCTATTAAAAACACAAACGTGTACCAGCTGAGAAAAAATGTAAATAAAAGAAACAATTACTACAAGAGATTGTTTAGTCCATACATTTTTGCAAGAATAATGCACGCACACACACACACACACACACACACAAATACATAGTTGGACATATTTCTCATTTGGATCCCAGTGTAATGATTCCGAATGGCATTTGTTCTTTACTTTGATTTGTCAAATACAGCGAGCTATTGTAATGTGTAAACCATGCAATGACATGTTTGCACAAAAAATACCGAACAAGTAACAGTGGAAACTAAGGGTTTAAATACACAAAAGAGCAATCAACAGAAAACAGAACAGGTGTAGTACTAATTAACAACCATGGAATCTAGCTACCAAAACAGAATGAGACCATCCAAAGCCTGTTGGATAATTTACATTTTGTACTGGGGCCCGTTCTTCGTACCTCACTTAATACATCTGAGATGATTTGAAAGATGCCAGATCTTCTAATCGTGATAACTGATCTCTGGCTAATTTGGATCTTCTAACGAATTTGCGTATTTGATTAAAATATCTGGATTAAGTTGTCTAAGATTACTGCGCGTTCTCGTGTTCCCCGTAAAGGGCAGATGTATCGATACTCAAAACCACGATGCACGATGCAGCAATGCAGCGATTGGCTGGCAGCAAGACAGCAACGTAATGACATCATATGATTAAAAAAAGACACCTGACGAAAAACTTGACACATTTCTGGACCTTTATAAGGAAACAGCCAAGCGAACAAAACTACATTAATGTTATAATAGATAAATGAAATGTGAATATTTTTTTTTTTTACATGATTCACGATTTCTAGTATTTGTACAGGCTTCACATTTTTATTTCAATGTAGTAATTAGTAATTCATTTCATTTGATATTTGAACAGATTTGTTACGTGACGGTATTAATTCAAGTTTCTTCAGGGTCAAGATCATGTTATCTGCATCTCCTGCTCCATCAAGCCACTCCCATAATAGCTGTCTTCACTCAAATTAATGCACGACTCTACATTATCTGTATAGGTAGTCCTGGGGACGTCCTGGGGACCTTTTTTTGTTAGCTGGGAGTAAGTAGCGGTGGACAGATTTTAAGTATCAATTCTGCTTAAAAAGATGCAATCTAATCCTGTTTACATTAAATAAGCTGCTCCCGAGCAGGTTTAAGCTTACGGACTGAGGGGCTGTTTCATAAAACAAGTTTACCTAATAAGCCAGACTTATTTTCGCTTGATTTGGTTTCATCAGAGGCGGACAGTAGTGAAGTATTTTTACTCTGCTGTAAAAGTACTTTTCAGGTGTCTGTACTTTATCAGAGTGTTTTTCTTTAGAAAACTTTACTTCACAACATTCCAAAGCATAATATTGTACTTTGTACTGCACTACGTTTCATATTAAATATAATTTAATACTTAATTACATTAGAAATCTATTACTTTCTTACTTTTACTCAAGTAAAAGTAATTCAAAGATTTACTTGAGTACAAGCAATAACCGCATGCCAATGTGCATTGGCTCGTTTAGTTTACACTCGAAGTAGATTGGTCCCTCTAAGCGAGATCCCAATTCGTCGGTCATCCGACGTGATGTCGAGAGTGACCGACTGAAAGGGAACTACAGATACTTTTTAAATTTACTTGAGTAAAGTACAAATTCTTCACTACTGTCCGCTTGGGTTTCATAAAGCAAAATTACCATAGCACAAGCTCAGTCACTGTGGTAACTTATGCTGGGAAACTAACCTGGTCCGGAGCAGGATAACTGTCAGGCTAAGCTGAGTTCCTCTGACACTGACCAATAGGAACGGATTGATATTACCACTGACTCTCTCACATACAATTATTTAACTTTACCAGTCCAAAAATAAAAGTATACAGAAAATGCAACTTAAATCAAATAAATGAAAATATAGGCTACAATCGACTGTATTTAATGCATTGTGCCCAAGATTGAATGACTTTTTTTAAGATATATTAAAACATTTTAACAGGGTTGCTACATGCGCATTCAGTTGATCAGCAGTTTCTAGTCATGCAGCCTTTCTCTTGGGTAATATGACAGCTGTACTTTATGGTTATTAAAACATTACAATATAAAATTGCTCTTTAAAGCATTAAAAACACTAAATTAAAAGTTAAAATAAAAAGAAAATAAATCATAGAAAAAAAATAGAAAAGACTATATTTTAACTGATAAGCGGAATACACAATAACTAATTTGAGCTTGTAATTAGGGCTGTATTAGCTAGCTTACATATGATTTACAGTTACTACTATCATAAAAATACACCTATACAGGTGCATCTCAATAAATTAGAATGTCG